CCAGTCGACCGTACCTATTCTTGGTGAGTGTCGAGCTCGTTTGCGCCTTGGTAGTTTCGGTACCGATATCCGTTTGCTCGTTTTCCGGCTTTGACTGTATCTGCGGATGTGATCCTTGGCACGAACTTCTTAACCCGTTATGATGCGCAATTAAGGCCTGCGCATAGCGAACTGAGTTTATTACGGCCAAACGGTGCGCGATGTACGTTGCGAGCGATGCACGCCCCGTCTTCTTCTGTTTCCGAATCACCGAAACCCGAATTTCTGTTGTTGGAAAGAGCGCCAGCTCGCACGTCTGTGGTATCCGTGGAGCGCGCGTTTAGAGACCTTTTTGAGTCGCCCGGCTCGCGTGGGTTGCTGGTTGTCGTGAAACCGTTAACCGAATCTACCGCACATCCTCCGACCAGCCCCATTTCTCAGGTCAATTCTCTCGAACTTCCACCTGAAATCGAAACGAACCGAACCTTAGCAACAATCTTGCACGAATATGCGGATGTGTTTGCTCCGATTTCCGGGCTACCTCCTGATCGTGGGGTACATCATACGATTCCGTTAGAGCCTGGTGCACAACCGATTTACCGGCGTCAGTACCGTTTGACACCGTTGGAAAAGGAAGAAGTTGAGAAGCAGGTCAAGGACTTGCTGGCTAAAGGGTTTATTCAACCCTCAACATCTCCTTTTGGTGCGCCTATCCTCTTTGTGACCAAGAAGACCGGTGAGCTCCGTATGTGTATCGATTACCGAGCCTTGAATCGATTAACGATTAAGAACAAATATCCGTTACCACGAATTGATGATACGTTAGACCGGTTGGCGGGAGCACGAATCTTTTCCGCTCTCGACTTGGCTTCTGGTTATCATCAACTCCGAATTCACCCGGATGACGTCCCGAAATCTGCTTTTAATACACCGTTGGGACATTTCGAGTGGTTGGTGTTGCCTTTTGGGCTTTCCAATGCTCCTGCGACGTTTCAAGCAACCATGAACCGGATTTTCGCACCGTATATGCACCGATTTGTAACTGTATATCTGGATGATATTCTGATCTTTTCGAAAACTCCGGAAGAACACGCTGAGCATTTGCGTTTGGTTCTTGAAACGCTCCGAAAACACCAACTGCACGCGAAACTTTCGAAATGTGAATTCTGGAAAACCGAAGTCAAGTACCTTGGTCACATCGTAGGCTCTGCTGGTATCCGAATGGACCCGAATAAGGTGGACACGATCCGAAATTGGCCACAACCGAAGGACCTAAGTGAGCTGCGCGCTTTCGTTGGCCTTGCGAACTATTTCCGACGTTTTATCCGAAATTTTGCGTCTTTGGCCGCGCCACTTACGGACCTCTTTGGCAAACCGCGCCTCCCGGATGAATGGCCACCTCAGGCGCTGGCCGCATTTCAATCCATTAAAGAATGCCTGTCAACCGATGTCTTACTGAATTACCCGGACTTCTCGAAACCGTTTGAGCTTGTTTCCGACGCATCGCTCAATGGAACCGGTGCCGTACTGTTGCAAGATGGTCGTCCGATTGCTTTCACGAGTAAGAAATTTTCCGCTGCCGAACGCAACTACTCTACCGGTGAACAAGAACTGTTGGGCGTTGTGAATGCTTTACGCGAGTGGCGATGTTACTTGCAAAGCAACATCCCATTCACCCTCGTTACCGATCATCACCCGCTTACGTATCTGAAAACACAAGCTCATCTGAGTCGACGGCAGGCACGCTGGGTTGAATTCCTCGAGCAATTTACGTTTGAGTGGGTCTACCGACCTGGGAAACTCAACGTTGTTGCCGATGCTCTTTCTCGACATCCGAATTTGGCCATGATTCTTTGTGCGGTTCCTCCCGTTACTCCTTCTTCCGACCTCCCGATTTCGTCCCGAATTGCGGAAGCGACCCGCAAGGACGCCTGG